CTTTCGTGGACTACAGCCCACTTCTTTGGATGCATCCAAAGAAGTGGGCTGTAGTCCACGAAAGCTTATGCTCTAATAAATTTGTTAGTCTCTAAGGTGCCACAAGTACTCCTGTTCTTTTTGCGGATACAGACTAACACGGCTGCTACTCTGAAACCTATTTTCATTGTAATGCCTCTGAGCTGGTAGCGTCAATGGAAGATTATCTGAGAGTTTTGTAAATTTTTGCCAAGGCAATGTGGTCTTAAAAGCCATGCTTTGTAAGAGTGATGCAGGCTGTGATAAAAAAATTGAACTGGGATTGTGTAAGTGAGTTGGCGTTATCCAGCTGGACTCAGATATAATCAATCAGCTCTTGTTCAAGGTCAGATTCCAGTGAAACTTTAAAAAAAGAAATAGCTGTAGCATTTGTTTGTTTGCTGTTTGCCCCTACAAGCTCAAAAATGGCTTTCAAACGGTTTGCACATCTATGAGGCTAAATTATAAAGACGTCATCTGACTATTTATTTGCATTTCCAAAAATAGAAAGATTTAGTCTCCGACATACATGCTCTGTCTCTCTTTCTCTTTCATTCTTTCTCTCTGTTCTTCTGGGTCAAATTCAACCCTAGTGTAATTTCTTTGGCTTCAATGCAGTTAAACTAACCATGAATTTGGCCTCCTGTGTTTTTATTTGAAAAGAACTTAAAGGAACTTGAAAAGATGTCATGTATTTCCATGACACCAAGTGTTTCATGTTTCCTTCAACAGTTATCATGTGTATCTTTACCAGCATCAGTATTGGACAAACTTATTCATAGATTCCAAGGCCAGAAGGGACTATTGTGATCATCTAGTCTGACCTCCTGTGTACCATAGAACTTGCATAGAACTTCCCCAAAATAATATGTAGAGCATGGCTTTTAGAAAAACATCCAATCTTAATTTGAAAATGGTCAGTGATGGAGAATCCACTATGCCCTTTAGTAAATAGTTCCAATGGTTAAAAATTTACTCTTTATTTCCAATGTGAATTTGTCTAGCTTCAACATCCAGCCATTGGATTGTGTTTTACCTTTCCTTGATAGATTGAATATTAAATATTTGTTCCCCAAGTAGATACTTATAGTCTGTAATCAAGACACCCCATAACCTTTTCTTTGTTAAGCTAAATATATTGAGCTCCTTGAATCTATCACTATACGGCATGTTTTCTAATCCTTTAATCATCTCCTGGCTCTTCTCTGAATCCTCTCCAATATGAGAGTTTCAATGCATAAATATTGAAACTCTAATATATCATTTTCTAATTGATGGTTTGAATTGTTTCAGAGTAGCAGCCGTGTTAGTCTGTATCCGCAAAAAGAACAGGAGTACTTGTGGCACATTAGAGACTAACAACTTTATTAGAGCATAAGCTTTCGTGGACTACAGCCCACTTCTTCAGATGCATGGGCTGTAGTCCACGAAAGCTTATGCTCTAATAAATTTGTTAGTCTCTAAGGTTTGAATTGTGACATTAATACACAGCCCTCCACTGGACTTCTAAGTGAAGAATTTGACCCTGTATTTGTAACATGACACACATGAGAGATTATGATGTTAGTAGTGAAGGCTAAATTTACTTACTGTTCACACTCTGGTTGAAAATCCAGAGTAATTCCACTGACCTAACCCAAAGTCATACTGGCTTCTTTCAACAAATCCTAGGGCAAAAAATCAAAAGTCCACTCAAAAGACTGCAGAAGTGCAAAACACACAAAACTCCAGTGGAGTCTACAGCCAGGCACCACAGCTCCAAAATGGAAAGGACATGGCTGAGAAAAGAGTATGGTTGGGCGAACTTGAGGATGTACTAATTACCGGTAAGTACTTCACCACTGAGTTAGCTGATCACATTTGTAATGTGCAGACAGAAAAAAAAGTCCAAACCTATAATAGAGATATACCTGGTGCTTTAAAAGGGCCAGTTTCACAAAGTTAAAAACAAATATGAGCAAAATAAGTTGGGAGGAAGAATTTAATCAGAAAAATCTGAATGATAATTGAGAATTGTTTAAGAACACTTTACTAAAATCCCCAAAAGCCAAAATTCTACAATCAAGGAAGAAGCCCATACTGGTTAAAAAACTGACCCAGCTTACAGGAGGAATGAAGTGAGCTATCAAATAATATAACCAAAAAGCTAATGCTTTGATGTATAAGAGGGAATCTTGAATAGGAGTAGAGAGGTTATATTACTTCTTTTTTTTGACACTGGAGTAGTATATCCAATTCTGGTGTCTGCAGTTAAAAAGGCTAAAAGTGGAAGTCAATAGTAATGAATATAAATCAGAAGCTAGGAATTGTAGCAAATTGATAAGGGGAGCAAAGGGATACAAGAAGAAATCTATGACTAGCAGAGTTACGGAAAATAAGTAGGAGATTTTAAATAATTAAAAAACAAAAGTACATTAACAATGATATTGGTCTATTACTAGATGGAAATGGTAGAATTATTAATAATAATGCAGAATAGGGAGAAGGGAGAAGATAAATATTTCTGTTCTATGTGTGGGGGAAAGCCAGATGGTGTGCTGATGCCATGATAATGATGATGACATTCTTTCCATTCCACTAGTATCTCAGGAAGGTGTTAAACATCAGCAAATAAAGTTAGATTTTTTTTTAAATTAGCAGGTCTGGATAACTTGTATCTAAGAGCTTTTCAAAGAGCTGACTGAGGGGCTCACTGGACCATCAATGTTGATTTTCTAAGTCATGGAACACTTAGGAAGTTCCAGAAGTCTGGAAAAAAGTGAATGTTATGCCAATATTTAAAAAGAGTAAGTGGGATGACACTGGTAATTTTAGCCCTCTCAGTCTGAGACCCATCCTGAGTAAGATAATGGAGTGGCTGATATGGGACTGGATTAATAAAGAATTAAAGGAGGGTTATGTAATTAATGCCAGTAAATATGGGTTTATGGAAAATAGATCCTGTCAAACTAACTTGAAATCTTTTTTTGATGAGCTTACAAGTTTGATTAATAAAGGTACTAGGATTGATGTAATGTAGTTAGACTTCTGTAAGACATTTGACTTGGTACTGCATTACATTTTGATTAAAAAACTAGATACAAAATTAACATGGCACAGATTAAATGGATTTAAAACAGGCTAACTGATAGATGGCACAAAGATTGGGGCAGTGGTAAATAGTGAACAGGATAGGTCAATAAAGGAAAGCTGGATGCAAACAAACAGCATGCATTTTAATATGGCTAAATGCAAACATGTATATTTAGGAACAAAGAAGGTAGGATGTACAAGATGGGGGAACTCTATCCTGGAAATCAGTTATTTTGAAAAAGATTTGGGGATCCTGGTGAATAATCAGCTGAATATGAGCTTCCAGTGCAACGCTGTGGCCAAAAAGGCTAATGCATTGATGTGCAAGTGAGAATCTCAAATAGGAGTAGAGATGTTATATTACTTCTGTATTTGGCATTGGAGTATTATGTGTAGTTCTGGGGTCCGCAATTGAAAAGGTACCTTCATACATTGTAGAGGGTTCCGAAAAAAAGCCACAAAAATGATTATAAAATTAGAAAATATGCTTTATAGGATATGGCTACACTACAGCTGGAAGTGTGCTTCCCAGCATGGGTAGGCAGATGTGTGTTAGCTTTGCTCAGGCTAGAGTGTTAAAAATAGCAGTGTGACTACAGCAGCATAGGTGACAGCTTGCGCTAGCCACCCAAGTATAAACCCACCCAACCTTATTTATTTTAACAAAGAGAAGGTCAAAGGGTGACTTGATCACAATCTATAGATATCTACACAGTATTTGATAATAGCTCTTCAGCCTAGCAGACAAAGGTATAACAAGATCCAGTGGCTTGAAGTTGAAGCTAGACAAATTTAGACTGGAAATAAGGTGCAAACTTTTAACAGGTAGGATAAATAACTGTTGGAACAATTTAACATGACTTGTGGTGGACTCTCCATCATAGGTAATTTTTAAATCAAGATTGTTCTTTTTAAAGCTATATTCTAGTTCAAAAGGAATTATTTATGCGGAAGTTCTGTAGTATTATATAGAAGGTCAGCTGATCACAGTAGTCCCTTCTGGCCTTGTCATCCATGAATCTATCCTCTATTGGCAGGATTTCTATCAAGTGCTGGCTACAAATTATAGCTATGCTTTCCTGGAGTTCTTCATCAGAGAGTGGAGTGCCCTTCTTTGGAACCTCTGTGGGATACAGCTTCTTTCACTGGCACAAGGAGGTATAGTTTGTATCCTTTGTATTAGAGGGCATGATCAAGCCCATTTTCTTCAAAGGAATTACTGCAATCAGAATCTTGCCCATAAACTTCTTCATCAGAAAATAAATGCTGTGTTTTAAAGGTTTCAAATACTGATTCATTCCAACTTCCTTTACAAGTTCCAAAGTGTTTCTCAATGTTACACACCAATCTGTGATATAGCAATAAATTAATTTACTTCTCAGGATTTGGAATCTGATATTTTAAAACTTTTCTTTTCAGTTCCTCTGTCACTGTTGTGTGCTGTTTACATTTGCATGTGTCCTGAAACAGCTCATTCACATTTCCATTATTTATTTCCAGCTGGTACTTTATTTCAACTTCTTTAAAGTCAGAGTGTGGCAATCTTGCCATCCATCATTGTCTGAAAGCTCTTAATTTGTCTATAGGACGATGTGAAAGTGGGGTACAGTGTTGTGGTCAGTCACAAATATAAGATGAGACAAGCCTTGACGAAATTTCTTAGTAATAATGTTTTCACCCCTCAGCTCATAGAGAGCCGAGAAACCAACTAGTTTCAATTTGCATGGGTTTGGGTGAACTTACTGATGGATTCCATTTGCACATTTTTAAAATTTCTGGCTTTCTTGAATTCTGGGTTCACATGAACTCAAAATCTCAAATAAAATAGCATGAACCCCAGAATGAGGTTTTCCTATTAGTGCACTGCACTCCATAGCATCTTTCAGTTCCTGAGTTAGGTAAAGGCTACCAACAGAAGCAGCAGTAGCAGAAATAGAGAAAACTTATCTGATTCTGCAGCAATTGAATGGGCAGGTGGAGGGAAGCCACTCATGCATGCCAAGGTATTTACTGGCAAGAGAATTTAGAGACAAACACATCCATCTTGCCACCTACAAAATAGTGGGACAGAGAGATAAAGTAGGTCATCTGTCTTTGAAGACTTTGGAAGGGGATGGAGTAGATGGCTACCCAACTTCTCCCACATCAGTGCTTTCTCTACACAAACTTGCCAAGGTTCATTAAAATGTTTGTTGGGACTCTGTCCCCATAATCCAAACTTGTTTTCCCTAATTTTGAATCCACATGAACAATATGGATTAAAAAGTTCAACTGCTTCTGCTGGTGCCATTGCCCCCACTGACACAGGGAGTTTGAAATCAGAAACCTCCATAGCCATGTGAGTGAATCAGTAATATTGATTTAGAAAACCTGTGCTTGGAGTCATTTCTGTTCTCAGTAAGGGTCAGATTTTCTTTAGTATAGGATATTACCCTATTAATTCTATTTTACTTTAGAACCAATACAACTAATCAATTTTTTTTCATCTTCACATACGGCAATCACCATTAAAAAGTCAACATTTGCCAACTTCCTGAGATATCATAATTTCCTCCTATACCAAGGAGAGGAAATAACTTATTACCTCAGAGACCAGTGTGCAGTACCAGTTGATAAATATTGACTTTTTATTGCTAAGGACTGTAATAGGAATGTTTTTTTCTTAGCATATGCCAGACATAGAGCCCAGGATACTGAAAGCAGCTAAGCACCTATAACTCCTCATGACTTCAATGGGAGTTACAGGTAGTCATCTTTCCTCAGGATCAGGTACAAAGTCTTCAATATTTATCTCTTCAATTCTCTGTAGAGTTTGCAGCCTTCATCTATATTTCCAAGGTTTCTTGACTTTTTACCTTATTTATTTTCCCTTTTTGCTATTGGGACTACACAACAATAAACAGAGAGGTAGCAAACAGTGGCCTAATTTCCACTGAATTGTACCTTTTATGAGTGCAAAGTGGGGGTAAAACACTAACACTAGTGTAAGCTAGTGGATTTCAAGAAAAATGCTAGCTTCAGCTTGAATGTTTTAATTTGTGCTGCACTGTAACACCTCTGTGTGGATGCTGTGGACATGAACCAAAAGGTTCCTAGTTTGCATTAATGTAATCCTGTTTGAAAAGAATTACATTAATTGAAACTAGGACCCTTTTAGTTTTCACCCACAGCATCCATACAGGGGTGTTACAATGCAACACTTTGGTGCACACTGCTATTCATATCCCCATATTTCGAACTGTGGGGCAGTGTAGACAGACTAAGTTTAAATGCTGAAGCTGGCTATTTTTGTGAAAACACCATGATGCAGTCAAGCTTCAATGATAGTATTTAATAATTCTGATCTCCAAACGCCTTTCTGACATTTTCTGGAAGCTATCCAGGCCATTTAAAATGGCATTCAGAGCTGAAGTCAAACAGAATCACTAAAGTAGAAATGACTCTTTTTCTCTATCCCTTTTGTCATCATCAGCTTGCCAATAATCTTATCCTACACCTAATGTTTAAACTCATGTAGCAGGTTTAATAGCACACAAAGAAACTTAAACCTTAGTAGTCAATATTATTGAAATCTCAATAGATTTTTTGCTTCCCCCTTCTCCTAAAACACATATGGATTTTTTTCTTTTTTTTCCATTCCAAAATTATGGATGATACCCAAGAGCTATAACCTTCTTTTATAATATAGTTGTCCAGTATTACTTTCTGTAATGCTTTTATCTCCTGATATAATTAAAAGAGCTTGTGTATCTCT